TCTATCTTACTTGCTATGAGAAAATGATTGGCACGAAAGGCTATATTCCTGAAACAGAAGCGCTACATGTTGCAAAAAATATACTTGCTATAATATACCATAATATTCCATAATTATAATTTTGTCTTCTGCTGGAGGTTGATGACCTCAATAGCAGGGGTGGCCTGACCATCAAGTAGAGTGAGATAGCTGTCAATGAAAATCATTCTGACTATCCTGAAAAAGCAGCAAAAAGCTAATTGCTGAACTTCTGCATGATATATTTTTATTTCCTTGTATGGGGAAAAGCATTCATAGAATTTTCTGTCTCATGTGGTGAAAAAAAACTTGGCTGCTTTCTGGTGCTCTCCATCTTGACTTGTGATAGGAAGATGGAAATAACAAAATGTTTTGGGCCACTCTGCTCAAAACGTTTAGTATAGATTCAATTGGGATCCCATATAGAAGGAATGGGCAACTCCAGAATGTGCTACCAAAAGAGTTGAATTTAGGGCTTTGGGGAGAGGGTAGGGACTGAAGGGTGGGAATGACTTCCAGAGGTCTCTTGCACCTGTTTCTACCCTAAAAGTTTCAGAGAAAAAAACAAAGGGCCAAAAACCGTCCTTTGGAATATCACAGCATCACCAGATGGCCTCTTAAAACCTTCCAGAAAGCCAGGAAGTTGAGTTAGGGCACCAATCTCAAACATTGCCCACCCTTATTTAAACTGGGTTTTCACGCAAACGCAGTCACAGAAGGATATATATTATCTCCGCAGAAGTGAATCAACATGCCAAAGGAATGTATTTTAGACTGAGACAATGCAGTGCTGAAGTTTTGCTAAAATGTGCTCCACATGGACATGTTCATAAGGGTCAAATAAACTGGAAGAAGGGATGGGAATAGGGTTAACATGTTTTTGATCACAGCAAGCACCCAAGAGATATTACATTTTCATTTGGCTAGTAAAGAGCAGGGTAAAATCTCTCCTACTGTTAACAATAAGCAAGACTTACCTGGCAATTCTCACAACACTGGCCATATCCACACTTTGCACCAGGTTTCAGCGTACAAGTTGCAGCTTCGCAGCACTCATTTTTACAGTCCTGAGAACCAAGAATTATCGCAGGAGTTTATAGGCTTTTCTGCTTAATCTCTTTTAGGTGGTCTACTTTGAAGAGAGAAACTCACAAGGAAAAGGACATTCCTGCAATGGGTTTCATCTTAAGGGCTTGTGCTAGCAAATGAATGGGACTAATAGCATGCTGAAGGCAGCCCGAGTATTAGTTTACTACAAACAGATGATGGCATGCCTATGTGACACATACTTATCTTTGTATTTCCTGTGCTAAAAAGAATAAAACAAATAAAAACATCTGCACCTCCTAATTGTGAAACCCACATAACCTGCAGCCCACATTCTTTGCTTATTCATGAGGGATTTTCTACTCATGATGTCAGCCCTTTGAGGTTGTCAGGAGAAGAAGCACCAACCATTAGTACTAACACTACTTTTATTGTAAGGTTACAGTAACAGAATCTTGCAAGCCTGAAAA